TAATAGTCAACAACCCACAAAGCGTTTAACAAAACAAAACAGTATTGTATTGATTTGATTTATGGTAATGCTTTAATTAATTCATTAATCAGTTGCGTTTGTTATTTATTTTGGCTTGTCACCATTAATAAAATAATCGCTATTCAAACGAATGTAGTTGGCAATAATGAAATTATGTCATTGCATTGAATTGAGGGTGTGTATTTTGTTTTCAAAGATAAGATAAGATATATATGTTTTTGTGGGAAGTTAATTATTGATATAATAGACTCATTTAAAGTTATTAATAGATTATATTTGTTTGTTTATAAAAAAACATATTATATTAAGGTTTAGTATTTAATTACTTCCTTTTGAGAAAAGTAAATATGACTTTATAAAGTATATCCAAAACTTTAAGCAATTGCGTTAATAATCTGCAAGCACTGTATTTCATATATATATTACATATATACTTATATGCGTTCTCGTAAATGGTGATGATTTCACTGGCGTGCGTATCAAAATATAAGCATAATAAAAATTGTTATTATGATGCATCATAAATCGCGCCGATTGCCCGCGGCAGAGGATCGTCGGAATGGGGATCGTCTGATTCTTGTTCTGATCCTCCCCAGATTGTTTGCGGCGGGTGGATGTTCATCTGGATAAATGCGGAGACCTACCTGAACATCCCGTGATAATTTAGTATTCGTACACACTCCGTCGCAGACTTTTGCGAGCCACTGTCAATTCAGTGTAAATTTCAACTATTAAATGCCAATTTATGGGGCATAGCTTATAATTTTTTATTATCGCTTTTATAACACCTTCCGCCAGAGAGTCGACACACGGGGGGCGTGGCCCCGCCGCATTTAGCAGGGCTTAACCCGGGTTTGGCCTGGACTCCATGCCTCATGCCTCATGTCTGGATGGTGGATAGTGGATGGGCTCCTCCTCGAGGCCAGAGGCCCTTCCCGAACCGATCTGTGGCGTGAGAAGAGATTGAAAGAAGGAATTCGCAGATAAATCACACTAAATCATTTCACTCGACCGCCAGTTGCAGTGCACGGCGCATGCGCGCATGCTGCAATGCCGCAATGCATTCGCGACTTGCAACTTGCGACTGGCGATCGTCGACCGGAGAGCTGAAAGCTGAAAGCGGCAGACAGACAGTCAGACAGTCGGCCAGACAGCAGTAACAAAGGCCACTGCAAAAGCTGCAAAATACAACAAAATAAAACGCCCAGAAACTCATCGGACAGTGCGTGCCAACTTTAAAATACCCAGTTTTATCGATACTCAAAACGCCAATCATGATAATGCAATTAATATAAGACTAAATTAAAAATGTTTGAAAATGTTCCCATATGAAATTGTCTATTTATTTATAAATGTAATTTTATAATTGCTGGTAATTTCTATATTTAAATAATGATAAAACAGAAAGTTCTTCATTAACCAGTAGATTTTTTGAAACAAGTCAATTAAGCTCCATGAAAATCGATATTTCGAAAAGGTCCTTTGAAAGAGAGTATAAAAAGGCTGTACGTTAAGAAATAAGTAAAATATTATTAAATTGAACAAAATAAAATAAATTTACCTATAATATTTAAAAAATGATTAGATTATGTAAAAAGGCTGTACGCTATTTACTAAATAAAATAAAATTAAATTAAACTATAATATTAAGATATTGATTTGCATTTTTATATTTTTTTCTATTTAGTATAGGAGTCAAAATCTGCCAAGTGGGCCACCCCTGTTCCGAAGGTCCGATTTTCATCGAACTTTTTTACTTTTCCGGTTCACAACGAAAATATAAGAACTTCATTTGAACGGTTTTGCGAAATTTTGAGTTTTACCGGAGTTATAGGGGTCAAAACATGGCATTTTTGACACTTTTTCGAAAAAGTTGCACTCAGTCAAAAATTCATAACTTCGGAACGGTAAGAGATATCTTTATGATGTTTTCACTAATCGCTCAAGAATTATTATGGCTTTCCATAAAAAAATTTAAAAAAAAATTAAAATTTTTTTTCTTAAAAATAAATCAACATTTTTTTTTAGTTTTTATTTTTTTCAGTGTTCTTCACCAGCTATAGAGTTTAAAACCATTTGAAAATGAAGTTTGATTCATTACGAAAAAGATCAAAAAAAAAAAAAAGAGGGGCCCGGACAAAGGTTTTTCGCAATATCGATTTGAAGAAGGGCGCACAGCGGTTTTCCATACAAAAACGGCTTGCTCTTGAAAATTGGCTGGTCAACACATGCCGTTGCGCGCGTAGCGTCAGCCGACTGCAGCTGTCAATGAGGCACTTCTTGTCGTTTTGTATGGAAAACCGCTGTGCGCCCTTCTTCAAATCGATATTGCGAAAAACCTTTGTCCGGGCCCCTCTTTTTTTTTTTTTGATCTTTTTCGTAATGAATCAAACTTCATTTTCAAATGGTTTTAAACTCTATAGCTGGTGAAGAACACTGAAAAAAATAAAAACTAAAAAAAATGTTGATTTATTTTTAAGAAAAAAAATTTTTAATTTTTTTTAAATTTTTTTATGGAAAGCCATAATAATTCTTGAGCGATTAGTGAAAACATCATAAAGATATCTCTTACCGTTCCGAAGTTATGAATTTTTGACTGAGTGCAACTTTTTCGAAAAAGTGTCAAAAATGCCATGTTTTGACCCCTATAACTCCGGTAAAACTCAAAATTTCGCAAAACCGTTCAAATGAAGTTCTTATATTTTCGTTGTGAACCGGAAAAGTAAAAAAGTTCGATGAAAATCGGACCTTCGGAACAGGGGTGGCCCACTTGGCAGATTTTGACTCATAGGCAAGTAAACTTTTTCTCAAATGTTAATTCTTGCATTTTATCTTTTAGTTTAAAGCTTATATTGCCATAGTATCCCTGAAACCGACTATATCCCCGAAATGGGCTGGCAATCGGTATCCAAAACTGCAGCTACAACAAAAACAACAACAGGAAGAACGAAACGAAAAAAGGTAAAGTTCGCTGCCATCGGCGGATTGTGCATTTTGAACGCCGGCGCGTACTAATCACTCGCATTGTTACACGATCACGCCATGGCATCACGTAGCCAAGGTGAAAGAAGGCCACGCCAGGGGCGTAGCGGGCGGGGGCGGGGGCGGGGGGTGTGCCAGGGGGCGGGGCACGGCAGCTTTGAGCGGGAGACAAATAGGCAGCAAATGTAACTGCACTCCGCGGATGGGAAACGTCCATCCATCCATCCAACCATCCATCCAACGACCCCAAACGGCAATTGGACTCTAATAACTGGGAAAATTCAAATCGATGGATGTAAATAATTGGGAAATCGTTGGGGCTTTCGTCATTGATAACTTACATATTAACATAATTTTCTATGCATTTAATTTGTATTACTTTCCATTGAATTACTATGTAGAAAATGTTCTGGTAATCCTTTTTGAATAAATTTTTAATATATGTTCATGGCACACTTTATTTTATTTTTATACCCGTTACTCGTATTTAAGCAAAAGCATGACCCTATATCATAAATATTTTTGTCCGTTTGTCTGTCCGTCCGTATGAACGCTAAGATCTCGGAAACTATAAAAGCTAAAAGATATTAAAAGGTGCTGTTATGCGCCTTCATCTTTAAAGATTTCGGGAAAGATTTTCTCTGGTTATAATTTCCTTTTATTGATATAAATAAATAGAATTTCGACTCCTAAGGTTCAAGCTTTTCCCATTGTTCTGCGGCCTGTTTACCGAAAGAGTTGAAGATTTCGGTGGCCGAAAGACGAAAGACAAAAGGCCGCCAAGGCCAAGCAACTCGGCCATGAACCAATTCGCTGGACCATTGATAGATACATTTGTATCTTGGCGGCCGGCGGTTGGCGGTTGGCGGTTGGCGGCTGTTTACGTTGCGGTGAGGTCGTCAAGTTTAACAGTTGAAGGTCGGCGGCAGAAGCGGAGGCGGGGGCGTTTTAAATCGCTGGGAAAACGCGCACGCACAGTGGGACGAATCGGAATCCGAATGCGAGTGGCGGTGGGTTGGGGGGGATAAGTACATTAGCAGATTTATATCCGGCAACAATAAAAAGAACAAGGCGACAACAACAAGAACAAACGAAAAGACTTGCTAAAGAGCTAATGACTCGGATAATGATTTCGATTTCGTTTTCAATTTCGATCGTTTGGCTCTTTTTTTTTGTTTTTTGTCTGCTGCCTCGTCGCTGTTGTTTGCCTTTTCAATATTTCAGTTTTCAATTTTCTTTTTTTTTTATTTATTTATTTATTTTTTGTGATGTTGCTGCTGTTTCTGTGGGATTCGTGCGTCAATAATTAGATCATCTCCGCGCTGGTTGTTGTAGACGATTAGCGAAATCAAAAGGCATCAGCCCACAAAGAAAGCGGAACGACAAACACAAACATATAGACTATATGGGAAATTTCAGTTCAATTTGTGCTTTGTTTTCCTTTCAGTGCCTATTTTTTGCACCCATCGTCCATTAGGGCGCACAATGGGTGTCATGGAATAATGATTGTCCCAGGGGTTCCAAAAAATATTATACCCCTAAAAACAAAATGAGTAAATGTACCATGAATTTCTGATTTAAATAAATAATTATTTAATTATTTATTATTGTAAATATATATTTAATTTCTATTTCCCAAATTGTATCAAAATCAGATGGGGAAATGCTCACCACAGAATATTATACCCCTAAAAACGAAATGAGTAAATGTACCATGAATTTCTGATTTAAATAAATTATTTATTATTACTATATCGTAAATATATATTTAATTTCTATTTCCCAAATTGTATCAAAATCACCGCAAAATATTATACCCCTAAAAACGAAATGCGTAATTGTACCATTAATTTCTGATTATAATAGATTATTTATTTTATTAAAAAATGTATTTCATTTCTATCAAAGTCAGACCTTCGATTTTTCTTGCAGTGGTTGACAGACATCAAATCAATTATTCATTCCTGTACTTTTCACTAGCTCAGGAAGTGTAACAATTGAAACCTGCTTTTTGGTGACTAACAAAGCTCTGTCTTTTCCCCCTTGCAGCGATGTCCTTTGAAGTGCGCATGAAGTGCCGCGAGCTGCTGGCGGATGTCCTCCGGATTGGCCAGCTGGCGGAAGGATGCGGCGATCCCGACGACATGGCCGCCCAGCTGGAGCAGGCCATTCACGAGGAGCTAAGGGGCTCGGACATCAAGTACAAAAATCGCATCCGTTCGCGGCTCTCCAATCTGCGCGACCCGAAGAATCCGCAACTGCGCGAAAGGTTCCTGCGCGGCCTGGTGACCCCGAAGCAGCTGGCCACCATGTCGCCCGAGGAGATGGCCAGCGACGACCTCAAGCAGATGCGCCAGAAGTTCGTCCAGGAGTCGATCAACCAGGCCCAGCTGGCCAAGGTCCAGGGCACCAAGACGGACCAGTTCAAGTGCGATCGCTGCCACAAGCGCAACTGCATCCAGCTGCACACCCAGGACGGCGACGAGCCCATGGTGACCTTCGTCATGTGCGACGAGTGCGGCAACCGCTGGAAGAACTAGGGAACGAACTGGGGACTCTGAATAATAAATCCCAGTACACATGGAGGAACTCCCTTTTTTAACAAAACCCCCACACAAGAAATCTCAACACTTATGCTGAATAAAATATAAACCTTGCATCTAAAGCTTAAAGCCAACAATATTAGATTTTTCAATTACCTTTAAAGGTTAAAAATATAATTAGATAAGGAATAAGAAGAGCTTAGATATTATTATTAATTTTTAGATAACTAATAGAAATAAAATTTAAAGAATTAGGAAAATGTGTTAATAGTATCTAAATTGTTAATTATTTTAATAAAATAAAATTCAAATAAAAATACTTTTTTAATATCAACAACTTTGGATATATATTTAGGTCTGTAAACAGATAACTTTTTCCAATACTTTTCAGTGATAAAAATGGAATGCAATTTTTTTTTTTAATTTATTGCAAATAAAGAAAAGAGCAATAATAAAATAAATTCATAGAGTAGATTCTTAGTGACTCAAATTGTAGTATTCTAACTAAATACGATAAAATACCATTATATTTTATAGAGTATCGTCGCGTCCATCATTTGCCTAGCTGGTAATCCTTCTTTGTTCGCCTTGGAAAGCAGATAATATAGCGAAGAAAGAAAGAAATTTCGGTTTTATAAACATTCATAAATATGTGCTTGTATAAAAAACGAGAAGCGTAAATTTAATGAAATTTTCGACTATTAGTTAGCTCTTTAGACTTTAATGAATCATGCGGTAGGATGATCTCGGGAGTGGGTGAGAACGAGATGAGATCGGTTGGGGTATGGGATATGGGGTATATAGAGCGTGGGCCGTTCCGGAGTGCAGACAAATTATAGACGTTAAAGCATTTGGTTTATGGCCACATTAATGGCATTGACTCGGATTGGATGGGATTGGTAATGGGATTGGGATTCGGATTTAGATTTAGATTCTGGGATGGCGATGGCATTTAGGTGGGTCTCCCTCCAGAGATAGCCAAATTAATTAATATCCGCCGTCGTAAACACAGCGCAAAATGCAAAAGCGGATCAAGTAAATCGCATTAATTGGCCATTTGGCCAAAAAACCATTAAAAAGAGCTCCGAGCCCCCGAATAAACAAAGTGGAAATGCGCCTTTCCCAGGCTTCCTTTTCGCCTTCTTTTTTTTTTTAATGTCCGTCTGGCGCCGATCATCATTTTCCCCAAACAAAATCGCTTATTTGTTATTCGGTTTCGCTGCTTTTTTCGGATTTTATTTATTTATTTGTATATTTTTTGTTTGCCTGTTGGCTTTTGTGTGTTTTAGCCACCAGTTCGAAATGTCGCTCAAAATTGACGACCCTGAAGGCGCCGGCGCCAGCGACAAGTGCGACCACAAAGGTGGTGGAAAATTGGAAAATCGGAAAAACTAATGGGCAGGGGGGCTAGGAGAGGGGGGTCTCTAGATTGGCATGCAGACGTGCGGTGCTTTCAAGTGCCATATTTGATGTATATTGTTGGATTATATGGCCAAACGACGAAATGGATTTTGGCCTTAAGGCATTAGCAGCCGAGCACAAAAATGGATGGCTGACATGGACATTGGTATCGATCATAAAATGCGATCGCCAAAAACCAGATCAGTTCAAAGGGATGCAAGTGCGCTATAAAATAAATAAGATCCAAGAGAATCTTTCTTGTGTTTGGCATCAAATAAGAGATCTTTGGGGGGATCAGCCAAATATCAGGTGAAGCCAGAGATATACTAGGATTATGGGATTATCTCTTATCCTGTTTGGGATATATTATAAATATAATCTAAAGTAAATTTTGATTTTCTAACAGCTGAGCACATAAAATCAAAGTCAATCTGGTTTATATCGGAAGATCATAAAGTGTATAATTGATTATTATACTTTTATTGCAGCACCAGGCCAAGAAACCCAGATCCCGCTGGCTGGAGTTCAGAATTCCGAATTTGCGACAGGTAGGATGGCCGAATCAGGCGGAAATTCCCACCATATAACCGATATAACCGATGGTGCGAAAACAGATGCAGCCTCATAAAAGGGGCGCAGATAAGGTCGCGGTTGCGTGGGAAAAGCCCAAAAACCAGCCAACAGGACGAACCTGTGCGGTTGGCGCATCATTGGCCTTATACCTATCTATATATGGATATACCTAGCCATACCTACACATATCCTTGTGCAAGGATAAGGCGAAGAGGGATCATAAAACGCTGTCGCTTTTGTTTATGCTGCTTATTTAAATTGGCTTCTTGGCGGGCGTTTCGACCTGGCTGTCCCGAAATAGAACCAGGACGAGGACCACCTACATCTACCTGCCCTGGGAATTCCCAGGACGATCCTAACCCATATGGCCACGGATGCGTGAGAATGCTCCGTCCGATTCTAGATCATCGTGGGTCCTCGCTAACAATCGGGTTATTGTTATTCGCCGGTCCTCGGTTTTCGAGAACTGTTCGAGAAGCGGGTTTTTCCGGCCACATCGTGCGTCATCTGGTGGCAGGACGCACTTGCCCCTTGCACCACACCCCACCCCCTCCCACCCCGTCCAGGATTACGACAGCACATAGCACCTTCTGTGGAATTGCCGAGGGCAGAACGGCAGAATCGGAGAATCGCCGAGGCGATCTCTGAACCTCTCCTGGCCATTGATTGATTCGCCCGCGTGTGTGTTTGCATACTTGATGAATTGTCCCGATGATTGGGAACTACACTATGCCAATTCTTGGAAATTCGAAAAAAAGAAATAGATATTCCGGGATTCGCAACAATTTCGAATTTGTAAATTGTATTTATACTTTGATTAAGAATTCTTATAGAAATTATTGTATAAACGTGTGCCTAATTTGCAAGAACATACAAATCTTGGGAAATATTGTAAAAGGACTAAATTATTTCTTAAATACGTTTAATGTTTTTTGTAAAGATTTCATTTTAAAGAAATATAACCGTACACTATAAAATATTTTTTTGAAAACACACCAAGAAGAATAAGGGTAATTTCTGGTAAATTTGAACAATTAAAAATGGTGTATGATTACATTTTTAAAAAATATTTTTTAAGAACATTTTTTGGCATGTCCGTGCTTTTATTTACATCTCATTTATATAACTTTTGTTTCAGTGCAGTTGAGTGGCGACGCCGTATTCACTTTTTATGGTCTTGATTTTGATTTATTTGTGGTCCGATTGTCAATCGGACGGTGATGATGATTAATTGCGACGGTGAATGCCAATTGTCGCCATTGGCTTCGATCTCGGTCCGCAGCCAAAGCCCCCCAATCCTCGCTTGCCAGTTGCCATTTGCCAGTCACCGGTCTCCATTTCCATCTCCAGCCATTTATTTGTGGGCGCGTGCTGCGGGGACTCCGATCCGAGAACAGGCCACACCCGCATTTGCATCAACAAATTAGCCGGCTAAAACATGTAAATCACGTGTGGCCACGCCCCGGGATTCCGATTGCCCTCCTCCGCCAGCTGCTCCTCCAAAGCACCGCGGGAATGCTTCGCTTGGAATACCTTTGATCTCAGGAATGTGGATTACCCAGTTGACCTGTGCAACTTGGGCTTTCGGCGATCGATTACGATCATCGGCCTTAATAATATGATCTCCCCTTCTCAAGTTTTGACACTGATGGTAAATAATATGAATATGAAATTATGGGTTTTGACTGGATCCCAATTACATGCCTATCCTTAGTTCTATAATCTGAATTACTAAATTTTATTCATTCTTAATCCTATTTAAAGAAGAAAAAACACGCCGGGATCAAATCGATATGCGCCTGGTAAATTTCGGGTATTTATACGCATATCGTTTTTAACTTCTTTCTTTCGGAGATTCTCTGACTTCGAAAATGTTGCTTACATTTCAAGTTAAAATTGATAGCACATAAGATCAAATCGATCATTGTTTCATATCAAGTTTTCTTTGGGTGTATAACATCTATCCACCTTGCCGGAAGTCTTTCAGCCAGTGATCTCATCCCATCCGATCTCATCGATAAACATCGAGGGGAACGATCGATGCATAACTCAAAGTGTCTTCGATTGGGGATGGCAATAGTGGGAAAAACTGCGGCGGGGGCTTCGTCATTTTCCTTGATTGACAAACGATCGGGGCGATAAATGCTCGAATGGGTATCGATAAATTTGCATTCGGCAGCGACCTTGGGTGGGTGGTGGTGTTTAAGTGGGTTGTGTTCTGTGTGCTGTGCCCGCACTTATGAAAATAAATTGCATAATCGTTGGCTGACAACTAGAGAATCGAACAGAAGAGCCATCAGCCATCAGCCACCAGCCTTCCCCCTTTCATTCCGCAATTTTATTTATTTTTTTTTATGCGTCAGTGGCGATGACGCCAATGGTGGTTCGGTGGTTTAGCGGATCGGTAGATCGGTGGATCGTTGGTGGACATGGACACACCCACCCTTGGCCAATTACGCGAGTGCCACTCCCCCCTTGCGGCTGCCCATTTTCCCCCCTCCGACTCGGCCTTTGTTTTTCCCCCACTTATTTTTGTTGTTTCGTATTTTCATTTCAATTAATCAAAATTTGCGCTTCCGTTTCAATTTTTTGCCCTGGGCGGCGGGACAGGAAGCAGCGGGAGGCGAGAGCTTCATTAATTGACGAGCTTCGGTTTGTGTAAATTTACAAGTGCACTTCTATCTCAATAAATTATCAACGCGATCAGGTCCATAGTTGGTTAAAAAAAGGGGTTGGTTTCTAAGTTTCGTTAAATTGAAATTAGATAGGTACTGATATTACAATCAAAATAAGTGGAGAAATGAGACATAAAACAAAGGTCACTTTTTAAATGTGTTTTAATTAAGTTACGGGCTGTAAAAGTGTTTTTTGGGGTCACCTACCTAGTTTATCAGATTGATATGTGCAGATCAAGTGTATACCTTTAAAGATTACGTTTATCTTATTTTATTTTGGTATTTTAAATTGTATTTTTATAACTTTAATGAAATAATAAAATGTCAAGTTGATATGATTGAATCATAAATTTGACATGAATCATATCGGCTTTTTATTAAAATGAAATAAGGTACCATTGAACTTATTTCA